AAACTTGATTTAGCCTAAGTCACTACTAAGCCCTTAAGACCTAGGTGAGTGTCTTAATTATCTTTGAAAAGATTAAGCTTTAGGTGATCATAATTCATGATTTGAATTTCATTTGAAAATAAAAATAGGGTATTAAATTGAATAATTATTGACTTCAAAAGTCATACCCCTAAGTCATGGGTTCATTTTATTTTAATAAACTCCTAAATCTTATTAATTTAGAAATTTATTAACTTATCTTTTCAATTAAGAAAGTAAGGTTGGTTTCTACCAATTAACCCCTTATGTTTCAAACATCCAAATTAAGATCAGAGGTTACCCATTTCCCTCTTTAAGTTAAGCTTAAATGTTAATTAAGGCTAAATTTCTAAAATTACATATTTGCCCATAAGGCTCTAACACTTCATAATTTGTCAAATTAAATTCAAATGACTTTGAAATATTTATCCTATCTCATTCATGGGTCAATTAAGATATAAAAGAAGAAAATATGATTTTTCAAAATTTAATTTATTTTATATAATTATTTTCATGGAAAAATATGATTTTTCAAAGAAAATTCCTAACGATGATCAGGACAACTCTTAATCATGAACAAGCTAAATAATAATCCCTTAAAATTTTTACTGGAGCTAGACCAAGACCAAAGAAACCTTTGGAACAAATTTCATGATTTTTTGAATTGTATTTGAATTTTAAGAATTATTTGAAGTTCTGGGCCAGTTATTAAATATAAAATATTTTAAATGGGGAAAATTATGTTTCATATTTTTAAAAAATCTCCTTGAGGTTAGAGAATTCAGAGGAGAAGATTTTATATTTTTCAAAGCTTTATTTGATTTATTGGAATTATTTTAGTAAAAGACCATTTTTAGCCTTTAAAAATTATTTTTAAGCTTTGAAATTTAGTTTCTTTATTTAGAAATTCAGGAAAAATGTTCTAATTATTTTTAAGTGCTTAGGAAGTAATTTAAAACATTTTCATAAATTTTATTATTTTGTGATTTTTATGGATTTTTAATTATTTAAATATTTAAAATAGGCTAAAAATCATGTTTTTATTTTAAATATCATTTTAATTTTAGATATTTAATTTTAGATATTTAGATAAATATGGATTTTTTTCTTTTTTCTATTTAAGTCTTGGTGTCAGGCCTAGAAATGATTTTGATCACAGCCGGATTTGGGTGTTGGTCTAGAGCTATTGTAAACACTATTTCAGAGGGGGATTTTTTGGGACTTTGGCTTCTTTCTTGGTTGTGAAGGTGTGGGCACAAGTAATTGAAGTTTGGTGGACTGTGGAAGTGTAATGACCTATGTCATGGTTTTTGACAGAGGTTTGAGCTCAAAATTGAGCTTCCACAGTGGAATTCAGTGGAGGAAGAGGGTTGGATTGCATTGAGGGGATCTCAGAGAAGCTCTGTGAGAAGTTTGGGGGTGAAGTTGCATGTGGAAGCTCTTGATTTTGAGCTTCCCGATGAATAGGCCAGCCGGCCATGGTAGGGGGAGGTGGCTCGGTGCTCAGAGCATGCAGGGGAACCTATCAAAGCAATTTAATGCAATGAGATTTAGTTTTGATGAGGGTATCTTAAGCATATGCATTTTTGGGAATAAAATCCCTTAATTTTGGGGACTTTTGGTCCATGGCTTAGTTTATGTGGTTAGACGGGTTTTGGCTTAGTCTTAGGGTATAACCAATGGCTGAGGTGGAGTTAATTTGATGACTTTGGGCTGGTTAGGCCATCTTTAATGCATGGGTTCAATGTGGGTTCAAGTGATCAAAGTTTGGGTTTAGGATAGGTTAGCCAAGTCAATTGACCTAATTGATTGATTAATATTATGTATATGATTGTTATGAAGATTTTTGGTGAAGGGTTGAAGTGATTTTGAGTTCAATTGGTAGGTCAATTTGAGGGATTTTTGAATTTTTGTCAATTTGGGTATGTTGGGCAAGACATGGGTCTAGGTTGGGTTACGCTTGGGCTAAGTCAAAACTAAATGGTTCAAATGATCAAGGGAGATGTTGTGAAGATTTTTCATGAATTAATTGAGTGGAAATTTTGGGGTTAAGGCCCTCAATTTGGTGAAATTTGAAGACATGGACAATTTGGGGAAAATTTAGGGCTTTTGGACTTAGGTTGAAATTAAATGAAATGAGGCCTCACCAAGGCCAATTGAAAGTCAAATTTAATGTGTGGGAATGCTATGAAGATTTTTCAACACAAATTGTGGCCAATTGAGTGGGCTATGGGTTCAATTTAGTGGAACCAAGTCATAGGGCCAAAATTGGGTTTTTAGTTTAAATAAAACATTAGGTCCAAATGATGGACCAATTGAGTTTGGATTTGGTCTATATTGACAATATAAAGGGTGAATTTGAGTTTAGAATTGAAATTGGGGAAATTGATACCATTTGGCTAGACATTTGAGGTAATTTGGGGAAAATTTGGGCCTTTAAGGGGAAATTTGGGGGTTTTGATTAAAGATGACCAAATTGACCAAATTGGGTTATGTGATAGTTGAAAAAAATGAAATTGAGAATATTTGGGGGGTTTTGAGATTTTTTGGGGTTTTTTGGAATTTTTATAATTTTGGGGTAAGGAGGAATGGCCTATTTTATACGCTACGACGGGTTCTTGTTCTTAGGCAGAACCATAGCATGTTACAACGAGCCGCGCTAGTAGCGCGCATCTGTTTTTCACGATCAGTATTGGAATAGGGGTGCCCTTTTCTAAAGAGCTGCTAAGAGTTTGGGGGACCGAAGGCAGTTCTATTCCTCTTCCTTGGTCAACTTTGCTACCGCTAGCCTTAGCTATCCAGAAGTGAGAATCCATCGTCTCGTATTGTATTTGAGTGTGTGCTTAGGACACTATCTCCCATTGAGATCGGATCGAGTAAGAATCGGCGGCGGTCTCTGAGAACGATGTATAGAGTCAATACGGTAAGCTACGCAATCATGTGAACAGGTCGTATTGATGATCGACCGTTTCAGATGAAAATGTGTAGGGGTGACGTGCAAACTGGATTGGCCCCACCTATGGTGTACCGGTTGTTATGCTCAAAATCGATTTTTTGAGTACAAAAAGGAGAAGTCAGCCCAGCTTTTCTATCTCATCTGGCATGATAAGAGAGGTTCTTTTTTTGAACATGTTTTGCCTGCAGATGACCGCTTAACAAAAACCTGGACAATGGTCCTGAGGGTCCATAGAGTAGTCTCCTTCTGGAGGAGCATCCGGATTGTATTGTAATCTTAGAGTTCCCCTCGATGTGCACCTGCCTCAATTGTAAGAAAGAACAGATTCTAATCTAATCCCGAATCTGAGGGCCAAAACCTCTGCTCGGTTGTTGGTAGACTGGGTGATTGGGATCGAATAGCAAGCAAGTACCCGGCCATCATGGTCTCTAAAAATAAGACCTCTGGATCCTGCAGGTCCCAGATTTGGAGAGGCAGAGCCATCAAAATTGAGCTTGACTCTACCCTGGTCTAGGGGAGCCTATCGAGCATTGGTTCAAGTTGAAGGAGTAGAAAGAGAGGAAGACACTCACCACTTACGCAGACAATGAAGTTCTTCTTCAGTAATGGAAGAAAGCAACCCTCGGGGAGAAGAAGAAGAGTGGTCAAACACTCTATCATTACGCTTTTTCCAGATATGCCAGATGGTAATGAGGAAAGCTGAGATCCGTATGCTCTTGAGACAGAAGTTTGGAATGCTTCTTTTCACCCAAGATAAAAATGACTGGCGAATGGACTCAGAATGAGACCAATTAACAGAGAAAAGAACAAAAACCAAAGGCGGGTTCAATCCCGGTTTAGGCAATGTAGAAGGACATGGCTTGCCGTTTCAGTGGATATTTGGCAAAATGGACGGTCTTGAGGAACATTCATATCTCTCGAGTTTAGCTGTAGGAAGACTTTCCAGGATCGCAGACCAGATAAATGACTTAATTTTTGGAATAGACAGAGTGTGCCTTACCCACTTCCATATTTTTTGGATTGGGTAAGAAGTCAGATTTTAGGAGAAAAAGGAATCTTTCTAAAAACTTTCTTGTAGGAAGACTTTCCAGAATCACAGACCAGATAAATGACTTAATTTTTGGAATAAACAGAGTGTGCCTTACCCACTTCCATATTTTTTGAAGTGGGTTAGAACAGGCCGAGTTCTCCTCCTCCCGTTGGATAGAGGAAACGAAAGTAAGCGAGACCAAACGAGCGTAATGAAATGAAGCGAGTACTCCCTACCCCGCTTCCTCCTGTATAAGATGTTGCGAACTGTTGATGCTATGGTTCGTTCCTCCATCGCGTGCTGCGGATTCGCCCTGCCTCTGCTTCATCATTGTCAACTCTGTGATGCTGACGGCCCTATGGGTGCAGTAAAAAAAAATCGTTGAAGCAATAGAGTATCTAAAGCTCATTAGGTGGATAGTGGGATGTTTACCACCACTCCTCACGCCTTCGTGCCCTCCCTAAAAAACTGGGGAAACGCGTCCTCTGGTACAAAAGGCGTCTGATCGTCTTCTATCGCTACTTAATGCTTAGAACGAAACCTCAAAAGTAAGTAGGTGGTAGGAAGACTTTTTGAAAAAAGGCTGAAGTAGTAGGGCTTCTTTCCTTCGTTCTTGGTGATGCTTTTCTTACTTCTTTTTCCGGTATGCCGCTCCGCAAGCAAGGAGTGCCACGCACGATCGGAGCGAACAAAGAAAAAGGGGAATGAAAAAAAAATGATATGATAAGCATGCTTGATCCTTTCGAGGATCACCGCGGTTTTCAAGTCGGGATGTGAAGCTATTTCACTCACATCTTTGTCTGGACCACGGGCCAGGGAGCTCTAAAGAAAGCTTTAGCGACCGCAGAGGACTGACTCTTAGTCATGAACTAAGTCGTTGGTCTTTTCATGTTAATGCAACAAACCCTATCCGTAGCGGGTTAACCGCAGGTTAATGGTAGAACAACCAGTAATCACTCGATGCTTCTTTCCAGTTCGCGATGACTGTTTACACATCGCAGCAATCCGTACTTTGAAACGGACCGATTTACCTTAACCCATTCGGGAATTGACCTGATGGTTAGTCGAGGTAACGGTTATAGTCTTTGTTGTCGTACTCTATCCCCTTGTCCGCACGTTCGTTAGTAATTTGCGTGCAAGTCGCCAAGTTCGGGTTGACTAGACAATACAGTGACCTGCCTGCCTAGTTGCCCTATAGGGACATATCGTCACTATCGGTCAATGAAAGCAAACCGACGATTTGACTCGTCTACTTTCATTCACACTTCAAGCTCAGATACGCCGGAGAGTGATGAACTCTCAATCCAGGACATTGACGTCCATGGATCCAAATCCATGTCTTTCTTGTTCCACTAGCAAGGCAAGGACAAAATTCTCACATGTCCATTTCGTTATTACAACCTTCTTTCTTTATGTCAAAGACAAGAAGCTACGCGCAAATTCTAATTGGATCTCGGTTGTTCTTAACAGCGATGGCTATTCATTCAAGTCTTCGGGTAGCACCACCAGATTTTCAACAAGGTGGAAATTCTCGTATTCCGTATGTACATGTTCCTGCGGCTCGGATGAGTATAGTAGTTTATATTGCAACGGCTATAAACAGTTTCTTGTTCCCATTAACAAAACATCCCCTTTTTCTTCGCTCTTCCGGAACCGGTACAGAAATTGGTGCTTTTTCTACTTTGTTGACCTTAGTTACTGGGGGTTTTTGGGGAAGGCCTATGTGGGGTACCTTTCGGGTGTGGGATGCTCGTTTCACTTCTGTATTCATCTTGTTCCTGATTTACCTGGGTGCACTTCGTTTTCAAAAGCTTCCTGTCGAACCGGCTCCTATTTTCATCCGTGCTGGACTGATCGATATACCAATAATCAAGTCTTCAGTCAACTGGTGGAATACATCGCATCAACCTGGGAGCATTAGCCGATCTGGTACATCCATACATGTTCCTATGCCCATTCCAATATTGTCCAACTTTGCTAACTTCCCCTTCTCAACCCCTATCTTATTCGTTCTGGAAACACGTCTTCCTATTCCATCTTTTCTCGAATCTCCTTTCACTGAAGAAATAGAAGCTCGAGAAGGAAGAAAAAAACAAACCTAGCTCACTCGTTGTCACCTTCCATGGAGGAAGATGAATGAAGAACCATTGGACGACATTCATCAGGGTTATTTGGTAATTTGGCCAATTTTGGTGATTTTAGGTAGTTTGGGTGTTTTCAAGGTTCTTGAAAATATTTTTGCGTCAAGTTGGGTATTTTGGGTAGATTTGGAAATTTTGGCCAAATTTGGGGTCCCGAGGGTATCTAGGTAATTTGGAGGAATTTAGGGGCAAATGGAGGAATTTAGGGGCATTTATGGGCAAATGGCTAGGTTGGGTATCTTCGTAGCGTTGGAGTGCCAACCACCATCAATAAGCCATGGGTCCTCTATGTAGTTATCTTAGCTAAACCCTAGCCCAGGGCTAGTGGGTTTAGGGAACCATCTCTAGGAGTCTCCCAAAAGTATCAAGGGACCAAAGCCTAGAAGTTTTGAGTTTAGGGTAATGAATGATTGTGAGTACAAGTGATTGCAAGTGAGTGCCTTAGCCCTAGACCAACACCCAGGGTCAACCCTAAGGTGCAGCAATTCTAAGGGTAACACATCTTAAGTTCCCTCGTAGTGACCTCACCTATTAAGTGCTAGAGGTTAGAACCAATATGTGGAAATTCAAGTTGAGTAGAGAAGAGTTTTAAATTTCTAATGGTGAGGGTTCCTTGTCTAGTTTTCTAAGAATAGTCA